TCCCCTCACCTTCGTCCCTTCTCCAGCCACTTAGCAGCTCCTTGGGGGCTACATGTCTGGGTTTCCAGTAACCCGTGGTGGCCCTGTCTTGCCAAATCCTCTCGACAAGCCTGTTCTGGTTCCTCTGGCCCATCTGAGAAAGTCACAGAATGACTGCTGTGTACGTACACACATACATACATACATACATACATACATACATGCACTATTCCTCGCTCCAGGCTAGCACCGCCCTCCCCGGCTGTCCCCATGCCTGACTCACAAGGGACTCCCAGAGCCAGCCCCTCAGCTGCTGCAGTGGTCTGCTGCCCGGTCCTATCCCTGGGCCTGTACAGCAGCACCTACTCCGGACCCCTCTCCTGGACGCAGGGGAGCAGAGCCCTTGACGCCTCCACACCGTGGTCTTCAGCACCAACATTCCAAGGCCAGTGGCAGGTGACTGAGAGCCTGAAGTGACAGGCTGTGATCCGGGTGTCCAGGAAACAGGACAGAGAAGGGCGGGGCTGTGGCTGCCCTAAGAATTCAGGCTAACAGGCTGCATCGTGCTGTGTGTGCTTGCGGCTTAGCGCTCTTAATATCTGGGCTGCCAACCTCTCCGCTGTGTTTCTCTTTCCCCTGCTGAGGTAACAGAATAGGTCAGCAGGTCTGTTCTGGTTTTAGTGCCCCATAAGCCTGTGCCTAACAGTGGCTCTGGATTTGCACACGCCCAGCCAGTTGGGTGTGATTATGGGACGGACCTGCCACCCACCTGCTTTAGAATTGGGCTGGTGGAATGAATCCACTAAGGTCCAAACTACCCATGTCCCTTATCAAATATGTCAGAATCTCTTGGTTCCCGCAAAATATAAAGCCTTGAAAAGGGAAGAACAGGAGATGTAAAAGCTAAAGATGTTATAGCTGAATTTGGGAGAATTTAGGAATCTAAAGATGCTGGAAGGAGGAAACATTTACTGAGTGTTTATAACAAGCCCTGCACGGTGCTAAGTACTCTGACATAAATTATCACATTTTCTGAAAAAGAGTATCATCTGTATCTTACAGATGAGAGACGCAAAGCTAAGAAAGGTTGAGAACTAGCTTTGTACACAGATTGGAGTTCAAATTCTGGCCCCGCTGCTTACTTAAGCCCTGCTGGCTTAACTGGAAATGTGGGCTGTGGGCGTGGGCCCCAACACCCTGGGTCACGCCACTGCCCCTCACAGTGATAGTAGCTGTAACTTGCTGCAAGTCATCAAACAAGTTCAAACCCAGGTTTCCTGCCTCCCAAGTTCAAGTTCCATGGGGAGAGAAGCTGATTCACTTTTTCTTTTCTTCAAGGCTCTGCCTGGGCATCTGGAAGTTCAGCAGGTATAGGAGCTGGACTGACCAGCGGCTCACTGTCCCGCAAGTGCAGAGTAAAGGAGCGTACCTGCATACCAGGTACAGAAACTGCCCGGCAGAAGGAAACGGTTGAACACACGTTACCGGGCAAACAGCAAGTGAAAAACAGGAAGTGACTGAACATCACTCGGGAAGGCGATGACCAGGTGGGGGGCAGCTAAACTTCCGGAGGGGCCTTCCAGTGTGCTGGGGCCAGGGGTAGGTCTGTCCTATGTGTTACACACACACACCAGCATTTCTCAGGGTGCATGAACACACCTCCAACCGCACCCCTTAGCCCCACATCACCCACCTTGCTCCTTTGAAAGCTCCCGTCCCCTAAAACTCAGGGAACACCCACCTCTGTCTTTGCTTGCTGGCATGGAGCATGCACGAGAAACGGTTTCCCGGTCACGTTTGACAGCCAGTGGAGGCTGGCCGGCACTCTGCCTATATAGTCATTCTCACTCTAATGGCATAAAAAACATCTCTGGGATTCTGCAAAATTGCCCCCCTGAAAGAATACGGCTGCTGGGAAAAGGAGGTTGGGGCAGGCCACCCAAAACCTGCAGAATTCTGTAGCCAGAGCACCAACAAAACAGAAGCAAGCCCGCTGATGACGCTAAAGCAGCTGGGCCCCCAGTGAGCACGGGCACTGGTCCCCCTGCAGCCAAAAACCACGGGACTCCATCCTTCTTCCCGAGATGTAGGTGTTTTGAGATCGATGCAGGTCCTAGCAGAGACTAGCCCCATCCAAATCGAACACGTGACCCGGGGCAGGCCTTCTTCATCACTTTCGTAGAACAGGAGATGGGGCCATATCTTTGTGGTGCCCTCCTGGCCACTCAGTTTCCCCGACAGCCTGAGTGGGAGTGAGTCTTGAAGCTCCTAAACCTGCTGTACTTGCAATGAAGAAAGGCATGTCTATAAAATGACCGGCTTTCTCAGGGTATTCAATCCTGTCCCTGATCATTTCAAAATATGAATGTTCTGGGGAAAACCTCATAGGAACTAACCTGATTTCAGGCTATCCTGATACCACTTCTCTACCTACCAGGTGTATACATGCTATTTCCCTTTAAAAGAAACAACTTTGTGACAACACAGGACAATCTTACGAATGAAGATTCTGGTACCTGTTCAACATTTGGGTGTTTTCTCCCACACTGAGCAACTCTGACACCAGCTAACATCCTACAATTCAACCGAGTTCGGACACTGCTGACCCAGAGACAGCATCAGATCCCACATGTTATGGAGTCGGTCCGACAAGACGACCTTCCACCTCAGACGCTCATCAGGTGCCCAGGTTGTTACCTGTACTTCTGACCTACTGGCTATAAATCGGAGATTCCCGTGAGTCCCCTCCTTGGGTTTGACTGATTTGCTAGAGCAGCTCCCGGAACTCAAGAGAATCATTTTACTAGATTAGCAGTTTATTATAGGACATGACTCAGAACTGCCAGATGGGAGGTGCCTCGGCAAGGTATGGGGAAAGGGTACGTGGCTTCTGTACCTGCCCCAAGTGCACCCCTCTCCCCGAATCTCCAGGTGTTCGCCAACCCAGCAGCTCTCCAAAGCTTGTCCTGTGTGGTTTTTATGGAGGCTTCACTGCTGTAAGCATGGCTGATTACATCACTGGCCACTGGTGAGTGAACTGAACACCTAGCCCCTCTCTCCTCCCTGGAGGTCAGGGGGCTGGGTCTGAATGTTCCAACCCCTCTGATCCCAGGGTTGGCTCCCCTGGTTACCAAGGAGCTTTGCAAAAGTCACCTTATTAACATAACAGACTGATTGTTCTCAACACTTAGGGAACTTCAAGGTTTTAGATGCTCTGTATAAATGAACGGAGACGAAGACCAAACATATTTATTGCAAATTAAGACGTCAGTCATCTCTTTGTGGCTGTGAAGCTGGGGAGACCCCAGCCAGGCCAAGCACATCGGATCTTAGCCTCCCAGCCTTTCCACTCTTAATAAAATGATTTGACGCCCCCCCCCCCCAAAAAAAAAGACGTCAGTCATGAAACCAGTCACCACCTCAGCCCGGTGATGACTTCCCTTACAGGTTAGAGGTCCCTGCGGTACAGGTCACACATGCAATTCACTCTCAAACCAGAAAAGCAAAATACAGCTGCCCTTACCTCTTCCCACTGCCCAGCCTCAGCTAGAAACATCTCCCCTCCATAATGAGGGCAAAGAGCACACGTAGGAGACATGGGAAGGAGGGTCAGCACGAGGAACCTCGATTTGGACCGCAGAAGGAAATTTCCCTCAATTTTGATTCTGTATGAGAACGAGAAGCTGCACCTGACACAGACATGGAAATTCCATTTCACCAGCTGACATCGAAGGTACGTGCCAGTGTGTTTAACCAGAAGGATGTCAGAGAGAAAGCCAGGAAACCTGATGGGATCCAGGACCACAGCCTTGCTACTGGAAGCACTATCCTGGCAGAGAGACATGTCTGAGACCCTCCCTCTTTCCTGCTTTTAATGGATGTTCACCTAGAGCCTTCCCCGTGCCAAGCACTGGGACCAGTGGTGAACCAAACAGCACAGTGAGGGGTCGAGAGCCCCAGCCCAGAGGCCAGGCAGGGATCATCCGTGGGCGCAGCACATTTCTCAGCCAAGTCACACCCGGCCGTGATGCCCTGCCTGTTGAATGCAGAGAACAAGCTGACACTGCTGATTTCATATGATTGTTTCATAACACAATTATTTAAACATAAAGTGCTTTATTAAAAGAAGAGGAATGAGTAAAAGAAAGGTAAGGAATTATTCCTTACACTAGATTGAGGGAGGAAAAAGACACCAGAATTTTATTTAAAAATGTGCATTCACTGTTACATGTTTAAACTTCAGCCCCCTTCACAGTACTCTCCACCTGATGCAATACACCAACTGAGACATTTTTCCACTGCTCAAGTTTTCGAATTTGTCGATTCTGATGCCATTTCGTGTTTCTGCTTTTCGCTTCACCTCTTCCACGCTGGCAAAACGTTTCCCTTTGAGGGCGTTTTTTCACCCAGGGAAGCAAAAGTTGTTCAGGGCAAGATCAGGTGAAAAGGGAGGATGAAACACAGGGGTCAGACCATTTTTGGTCAAAAACTGCTGAACACGCAGCAGAGTGTGAGCAGGTGCAGCCGTATCACCCTTCGTAAAATGGACAAACGTGCTGAAATTCTTCAAAACTCACTGAAGCCAAACACAGCCTCTCACGATGCCAACTGGTACAGTAAGACAGGTGGGCTCCTAAAACATTCACTAGCGGGGAAGCCTGGACTACAGAGGGCCCACCCTCCTGAAAGTAATCCGGTTTTGAGTTTTCTTTGCTTGTTCTAGGAAGACAGGGAATGAAAGAAAATGGCTTAAAAAATTATACATACAACTAGTTATTGTTTGGTTTTTTCTCCTTTTCCATGGGCCTAGATGCTTTCACAGAACGCAGGCTTTTAGGAATTCGATTCGTTTCCTGTTCTTTCTTCCTGGGCCCAGGAAGCCCACTGACTCACTATGAAGTAACGCAATATTCAATTATCGGTTTGGAGAGGAAAGGGAAAGACACCCTAAGCCTGGCTCTCTCCGCACAGGGAGAAGCAGCGAGCACTCCTCAAAGGACAAATCAGGCAAGACACACACACACTGATAAACTTGTTTATTGCACAGAATTGACTTTGCTTCTTGATATTCCCTGAAAAGATGGGGCAACCACAAAATGTCCTTGAGGCCCCAACCACAGCAGAACTCCGAGCTCCGTCCACAGGCACCAGTCCATCAGAGGTCCAGCAGAAATCTCCTAACCTGGGCCAGGTATTTTGGTTTCAAATAGTCACCCAGCTCGTCCTTACTGACCCACACATGATGGCCCTTCTTCCCAGCCTGGGAAAAGTCTCCAGTTAGTAGTAGTGCTTTGAAGAAGAACACTTTGGCCCCAAGGCTACTTTCTGTTCGTACAGCCTGGGGGAACTTGAACTTGTAGTGGCCACAGGGTGCATTTCCCAGGAACTTGGCTTCCATGTTGTTTTCTGAGAGAGGGGGGAAAACAGAGTTGGAAGATGAGGACACACTCACCTGTTTATTCTGGCTCCCAAAATCTCTGAGAGGGATTTCAGGCCAAGGTAAAAGCAGTCCCCCGAGGGAGGACGGGGTCCCTCCTGAAGAGCTGGTTCACTGGGTCCACTCTGTGCACCCAGCCACTGCCATCAGATTGAAGTCAGCAATGCAGTTCAAACGTCACGACCAGGAGCCAGAGCACTGAGCTCCCAGATGGGGCCTGCCACCACCAGTTGGTGAAGGACTGAGACTCTTGGTATCTATAAAGCAAAATTCACCAGCCTTTCAAAGTGAGTGTTTCACAGGAAGTATGAAAAGGATTCGATCTGACTTCTGGAGAGTGAACACATCATAACCAGAGTTAAAAGAGAGGTACACTGACAGGTAATTTCTGCAATGTACAACAAAGGGTTAATAATCCCAAACCAGCATGTCAAAGGATGAGGAAATGATGGATGAATTACTAACTAGCATTTGGAGAATTGGTGAGTTAAATTAAAAAAAAAAAAAAAAAAGGAAAGCTGATCTCAGCCCTCATATCAAAATTAATACCATCCAGATCAAAGATTATCAACAGAAATTTAAATTTTTCATTAACTGTTTGTTCCTTTTGCCCTGGCTGGTGTGGCTCAGTGTATTGAGCACCAGCTCATGAACCAAAAGGTCACCGGTTCAATTACCAGTCAGGGCACGTGCCTGGGTTGTGGGCCAGGTCCCTAGTAGGGGGCACGTGAGAGGCAACCACACACTGATTTTTCTCTCCCTCTCTTTCTCCATCCCTTCCCCTCTCTCTAAAAATAAATAATAAAATAAAATCTTCTTAAAAAATGTTTGTTCATTTTGGATGGTGGTTTTACGGATGTTCAATATTTTCCGAGTTTTTCCATATTTTTATATTTTTCATTAAAGAAAAAGAGCCCATAAGAGTACTTTCTGTATCATTTTTGAGAGGAAAGCCTAACCAAAACACAAAATAAAAAAGAAAAGAAATTTATTTACATAAAAATTAAACCTTTTTTCAAGGAAAAAAACAAAGCATAAAAAAGTCAAAGACAAAAATGACAAACTAAAAAACATATTCCGACACATTCAACAGAGAAACACCTTAAGGTATAAAAAGTACTTAGAAATCAATGAGAAAAAAATGACAAATCTAAAAGAAAGATGAACCGAGCACACGAACAGGAAGCCCACGTGAAAATCCGCATCGAAGGCCTATACACCCATTACAATGTATTCGATGTTATCACTGAAGAAATGTGCAGCGAAGCGCCCACGTATGACTAAGGCTCAGACGCTGCAGCTGCGTGTCCCGGCTGAGGGGGAAATGGGCCCCCGCCGATGGACGCGATCAGCGCGGCAGCTCTACCTGGCAGAGTCGGCTGCCAATCCAGCTCACACATGTCCGTTTGCAGCAGCCCTGCTTCTAGGACGTCACGGTCCTGATACAGCTGTGTGAGCACGAGAGCAAAGGTGAGTGTACAGAGGTGTTCACTGCAGCTTTATTTGTTAAAGTGACATCCAGCCTAAACAAAGGGCAGCACATATGTATTATGAGACAGCACACTGGTGTTAAAAAGTGCAAGCCATGTCTTCGTGTACTGATGTAGAGAGCCAATTAAAGGCTGTAAGAGAGAGAAAAGGGTATGTAACTCTAGAAATATGCTCCAACCGTGTGGAAAAAAGAAACAAATTAAACATGTGCTTCCCATTTCTAAAAGCATACACCAAAAACTGTTAATGGTGGTTGCCTCTGCAAAGGGAAAATTACTTCTTATCCTGTAATATATTTACTAGACACTATGTAACATTATTCTCATCATATACAATGAATTGATTTCCTTGCTATTAAAATACAACACTATATGCAATACAAAATATCAACAGCGGGTATCTGTGAGCGGTGGTATTACATTGGTATGTTATCTTTATACCTTCCTGAAATTTCCACTTAATTCAATGGATACATATTACTTTTCTATAATCTTGGGAAAAATGGATTAAAAAATATAATCAAATCAAGAAAAAAAGAAACCATTCATCACAGACATGAGCAAAGAATCTGAATAGGCAGTTCACAGGAGAATACAAACCGCCAATAAACATAAAAAGATGGTCCAATCACTAGCAATCAGAAAATGCTAATCCAAAAGCAATCATTTTTACTGACTACATAGGCAAAAATTAAAGAAACTACTTCATGTTGGTAAGTCTGGGCAAACAGGTGCTCCTTTACACCACTTCCGAAAATGTCACATGGCAGGTGCACCGCCCTGCGGGACCACAGGGCATCACCTGTCAGAAACGTCAGCATCTCTCCCCTTGCCCGTGAATCCCACCTCCAGAAGCTCCATCTCCCCAAAATGCATGTAGGTGTGGTGCCAGTGGGGAGGGCAAGAACGGGCTTTGACTTTTTTCATAAATATACCTTTACACAGCTTAAGCTTTTCTTTGCCATTTTAATAAATTTCCAGTAAATCAACACATTTTATATGCACTTAAGTATTAACATTTAACAAATACATTTCCTTTCAGAACCACTGGCTGCAGCGGAAGGGTGAAAGAGCAGAGCAGGGCCGAGGTGGACCCCCTTCCCGCATGGCACAGAGGAGGCAAGAGCGGAGCGGGCGTCAGTCATGTCTGACGTGAGGGAGGCTGAGCATCTGAACACACTGATCCCGGCAAGCACCCCGGCCAGCCACTCCCAAGGGATGGCTGAGAACACCAAGAGCACAGCACGGGCTCCCACCCATTCCACTCCGCCCAGCCACCTCTCCTGGAGACGCCCAGGCCCCTCCAGACCCCTCCAGGGTCGAGGGGGCACACATAGGCTGCCGATGACTCATTAGCAGGTACTTAAGCTGGTGGCACTTATATTGCAAATCTATTTTCTCAATAAACGCTCAGCAAGTACCTCCTCCATGCCAGGTACTTCGCTGAGAGCTAGGATGACGGAGGACAGATGCTGCATGTACCTTCGAGGGAGTCAGAATTCTGGCTGGGGAAGGAAATGTGTTATAAGCGAGTACAGGGCAATGGGGTGAGAGAAAGAGTGTACTCTCCACTACAACATGAGCTCCCAGGAAGCAGGAGTCACGTCCTGCCCGGCACTGTGACTCCACCCCCTAGACAGTGTCCAGCAAAGGAAAGGCAGAGTGCAAACCAGCTGCATGCACTGAGTAAGGGCACACACAGGTGCGTGCGGTGGGAGCCTGCAGGGAGACCAACGCTCTCCACCACAGGCCTGGAGAAGCTTCCACCACAGAAGGTACAACAAACGGTTGAGTCTTACAAACTGAGCAGTCAGACCAGGGAGGAGTAAAAGCATCCAATCAGAAACTAGCATGTGTCAAAGCAGAGATGCATGAAAGACCACATTATTCAAGGAATGTAAAAGGTCTGCTAGATTAGAACTCAGACTACACGTTCATGAGATGCTAGAGGGAAGAAGGGTGAGCTGGGGATCAGAGCACAAAGGACTTGCAGGCCATGCTTGAAAGTCTGAACTTTTATGGGAAACCCTGTAAGAACTCTAGAGCAGTGGCCAGGGATCTGCGTCTCAGCAAGCTCACTTCTAGCAGCACTAAAGGGAAAGACACACAGAAAAGTGGGTACTTGGCACCTACTTCAACAGCCAGTGTGGGGGTTGGGTTCTCAACCCCTGTGATTCGCTCCTCAGGTATTATTTGACAATATCTAAAAATTTTTAGTTGTCACAAGAGGGGTAGGAATGGGTTAGTGCCGCTGGCATCTGGTGGATACTGGCCAGAGATGCTGCTAAACAACCTATAATGCACAGAACAGTGACCACAAAAAGTTCTCTAGCCCCAAATATCAACAGTGCCAAGGCTGAGAAACTGTGGTCTAGCCAGGAGTAAAGGGGCCACAGCCAAAGCTGTGGGAATAAAGAAAAGCGGACTATTTAGAGCAGACCAGGCAGGACTCCAGAATTTATGGAGGCCGGAATGAGATCAACGCTGAGGCTTCGAGCTGGGTAAGTGGGCAAGCGGCAGTGCCAGAAAGCAAGGATAACAAAAGCAGCAGGCTGCGAGAACGGTAGCAACCTCAATTCACAATGTACAGCTGACCCTTGAACAAGGCGGGGCTTAGGAGCGCCGACCACCCAGGCAGTCACAAATCCACATATAACTTCTGACTCCTCCAAAACTTAACTAGTAATAGCCTACTGTTGACGGCGAGCCTCACCAGTAACCTAAACAGTCAATTAACACATACTTCACATATATGTGTATTATGCACTATATTCTTACAATAAAGAAAGCGAGAGAAAAAGTACTAAAAAAATTGTAAGAAATACGTTCACAGAACTGTATGTGTTCACTGAAGAAATGCTGCATGTGCGTGGACCCACGCAGCCCAAACCCATGTTATTCAAGAGTCAGGACACTGAGTGTGCGTCTCAGTGGGACAAAGACAGATTCTCACTTGGCCTAAGGAACATCCTTACCTTTGAATCCATCCTCACAGTCAGCCTGTACATCCCGAGGCCAAGTTGGAAGTAAGACTCATGGGGTTCAGAGGGAGGCTGAGAACTTACCTGGGAGTGTGGCCAGGGTTCGCTCGGCTGTTCCTCGGAGGGTCTCCCCAGGCTGCCACTCTGCCTGGGGCAGCATCCAGACATCTTCATCTCCAAGCTTCTCTTTGACCAACAGAACAAGGTTCCTGTCCAGCTTCCGGTGCAGTGAGGTTCGATCATTCTTCTTATCGGCCTCTGCAAAGACAAGGGGATGGGAGGAGACAAGGTAACTGTGATTGGCCAGACCAAGAAGATCAGAGCTTTACATCCATTCTTTAAAGTAGATCCACAATCCTTGCTCCCAAAAACATTTATCCAGTACGCTCCCAGCCCCCACCAACCTGTGCTTTCATTTTACCTGCAGTCAAACCAGAAATTGAAAATTCCAGAAATGAACTATTCATAAGTGTTAAACTGAGCACCATCCTGCTCCATCCCACCTGGAGACGAACCATCCCTTTGCCCCGCGTCTCCACACTGTGTGCTCCAGGCCACTCAGCCATCTCAGTTATCAGATTGCCTCTCACAGTATCACAGTGTGTGTGTTCCAATCACCCTTTTTTCCTTAGTCATGGCCCCGAAGTGCAAGGGCTGTGATGCTGGAAATTCAGATATGCCAAAGATAGGCCATAAAGTGCTTCCTATAAGTGAAACAGTAAGTACAGTACAGTATTTCGAGCGACAGGCCACGTTCACCTAACTTTCATTACAGTATATTGCGGTAATTGTTCTACTTTATTATTAGTTATTGTTAATCTCTTAAAGGGCCTAATTTATAAATTAAACTTGGCCATAAATGTATATGTATAGGGAAAAACACAGTAACAGAGTTCAGTACCATCCAGTTTCAGGCAATCACCAGGGGTCTTTCAATGTGTTCCCTGTGGATAAGGGCAGCTACTATAATCAAATTACAACCCTGAACCATTTCCCTAACCCTTTTCAAGGTAGAACCTCACAATCTTGAGGAAATTAAATATTAAAAAAAAAGAAACGAAAAGCTGAACTTCTCCTTTGAACAGCAAACTGTAAAGTACTTTGAGCTTCTGGAGAAGAAGCAATACCCATACTAATTCAAATCCTATTACTTCATTGGTTTTCACACTGTTACTGACTTAAGCAGCCCCCACCTTCTCTTCAATATTCTCCTGTGAAACAAGGATAAGAGAACCCCACCCTGACTGAGGAGAGCTTTCAGCTAAATCGTAGAGAACTAGTGGGAAAAGGGCTTATTTACCCCTTTCTCAGTCCAAAGTAGGAGAAAAATTCAGAAAACATTCATAAAGTTTAAATGAAAGAAAAGGCTATCCCAACATCCTTACTTACTCCCTATTCAAAAATAACACAGGTCTTAAATAATTATATTAGAGAGAGATATAAGGAACAGAGAAAAAATTTTACTTTTCTCTTACCTGAAAGTTTTCTCAATTGCAATTATTTGTTTCTTAAAACACAAAGCAGAGCTAGGCAACTGTCCTTTGTTTAAGAATCTATATACACCTCTCTCCCTTTCCTCTTACTGACCTAAAAAGACCACAAACCTGTTATTCGATCTCCAGGTTTGAACTGCAGAAATTTCTGCTCCCACATATCTTCCAAATCCTGTACCAGCAATATATCCTGTTCATCATCATCATCATCGACGTCAGCTTTCCTCTTGGCCAGGCGCTGGGCTTCATCCAAAGCACGAAGCTCATGGTCTGAATACAAGCTTCTCTCTGCCTCGATCTGGAAATTAGAAAGACAATAAAGCAGCCAGAATAAAACAGAGATACAGCACACTTGACAGACTCAGAAGCTTACTGCCCAACATAACCACACATATCCTCAAAACACCACAGAAAAATACAGAGAAAGAAAAAGCTCACTTGCACTTTGGGCTTGAGTTACAGCTACTAAAATGTCAGAATGAGACTGGAGGTCAAGAAGGCTGGGAACAAAGACCTGGGAGGGACACTGCCTGCCCACTGACAGGGCTCCAGTCATGTCAGTTTCTGACCAGAATCTCTCTCACCATGGACTTTCCTGCTTAGGGGAGTTTACAGATGCTGTTCCTTCTTCCTAGTTTCCCCTCCTGGGAGATTCCCTGCTCCTCCTTCAAATCCCAATTTAAATTATCACTTCCTTTGAGCTATTCCTTGACATCTCTCATAAAATCAAACTAGAATACCCCTGTTAAATTCTCACAGTACTGCATTTTCCTTTACAACACTTACCAGACTCTGCAATAAGAGTCCTGTGATTATTTGGTTATTGATGGGCCCTCCTCCACTAGACTGAAGCACTCTGAGGACCAGTTATGTCTATCTTAGTCCCACTGCATCCCTAGCATTTTATTTATTTATAAAGACATTTTTATTTACTTTTGGAGAGGGGAAGGGAGGGAGGAAGAATGGGAGGGAAAACAATGTGACAGAGCAACACCAATCTGCAGCCTCTCCCACGTGCCCCAACCACGGACTGAGCCTGCAACCCAGGGATGTGTCCTGAGCAAGGACTGAACCCTCGACCTTTCGGTTCTTGGTAGGATGCCCAACCAAATGAGCCACACCAGCCAGGGGTGCATTCCTAGCATTTTAGCACAATGTCTGTCTGTACAAAAGAAGTGCTAGATGGTTACCTGTAAAGTGACTAATGAAATACTTTACAGAGAAAACTAGTACACCAAGTAAAAAACATGAAGTGAAGTTTATAGCTCTCCCTTTAGAGTATAGAGAAACACATCATTCTTTAGTCACTATCTGTGGGGACTTAAGACCGTCAGTTACCACACTCAGTTTTTGCCCATACTTCCTCACTTGCCTCTCACACACAGTCCTGGTAGGCAAAACAGGGCTGACTTTACCACAGGCATCTTACAGATGCGCCACTGCCTTTTAACACTCATCACAAAGACTCCCTCCTCTCCAAACTGCCAACTACCTATGATACAGACGGATTCCGTCTTGTTCACCACCGCTTCCCACAAGTGTCGAATGAAAAAAGTGTCTCCAGAGAGTCGCCTAAGGTGACAATAAAGGTAACTGAAAACAAACTACCTTTTACTGAAAGCCTACTATGTACAAAACCAACCCAGAAAGGTAGGTACCATTTTGCGGGGAAAGGTACGGAAGTTCTGAGAGGTGAAATAACTTGTCTAAGGTCACACAGACTAACTGGTGCCGGAGTCGGGATCGAACCCAAGCCCACGTGCCTCTACTAGTTCCCTAATGGCCCCCAGAGCCCGCCACCCACACCTCAAATCTACCTGTTCTAATAGAGCCGCCATCTCTTCCTGCAAAGGGGTTAGCGACTTCGAGACCAGCGGTGGCCGCTGGAGGCACAAAGCACCCAACAGACGCCATGGAGAAACGCTGTTCGAGGGTGCGGCCGCAAGGGTCAGGCTGCGAGAACCCGGACTACTGCCCCAGAGCCCCCCGAAATGCCGCCAGCCCTTCACCGCCACAAACAACGCGCGCCCTCCCGGCGCCGCCATCTCTGCCCTCCCACAACGCACCGCGGCGCAGCGGTCCGGAGCCAATCCTAGGTTCCCACAAGACAGCGCGGGGGCGGAACGTAGAGAACCGCTCAATCCCCGAGCGACGGAAGGAACCATTCCAATGTGGAGGGGTGGGCAAAGATCTCATGTTAGAAGGCCAGGGGGAAGGAAGAAACCTCCCAGTTGAAAATAGCAGCGATGATTATTATAGCGCATATGAATCTGGATTAGAATTCTTAACGCACCTTCTGAAGAGGAATCAGATGACTCCTGTACTCCCCCCACAGGTGCTCGTGGTGCCGGCGCCGCGGACGGGAGCACTTTGGGGTCAATTCAAGTCATGCAAGTTGTAAGAAACGCGGGGTCTCGGTTTTTGCGGTCATGGGTATGGCCATCGACAAGCAGGTGAGAGTAATTACCCACTCCGAGCCCATGGCTAAATCCAGGAGTACACTCCCGCCCTTGTCCCACGAGCCACCCGGACTCCAATGGCTGTTAGGTTTGGGACCTCAGCGAGCTTTCCTTCCCCTCAGGGTCGTAGCCCGGGCGCCGGGCGCCACAATCCACGTGGACGCCCAGCAGCTGCAAGACGCGGCGGCCAAGCAGGAAGTTGAGAAGAAGGCGGCTCCGGATCCGGCCCCGGCCCCCAGCCGCAGCAGCTTCAGGTGAGGGCCATTTGGGTCCAGCCCTCGGGAGACCAGCACCCTGCACCCCAGACTGTGAAAACCAGTAAATTCCCAACTCTGTCACTTGCGATCTGTGCGATATTATGAGAACCCCTAAGCCTCCGTTTTCTCGACTAAAAAGAGGTTGTGAGAATCAGATGAGCCGAGCCTTGGCACAAAGCGGATGCTTAGCGAACTTTTGATGCATCAATGATTGGATGTCAAGGTTGTATAGTGAATGTTGGCTCCCTTCCCCTCTGAGAAGGATACCACCGCAAACTAACACACAATGGGAAGGGGGAGGAGCTGCTACACGGTAGTGTAGGTTATTGAATGCTTTTTAGAGTTGGTCTAAGGCCTAGGGAGGTTTTTGTACTCAGCCCTTGGGGTTGGCATCTTGCTTCTCACCACTGCCACCACCTCTGCGTGTCAAGCGTACGTCACATCCGCTTAACAAACATTTATACCAGCACAGATACAAAAGGTCGTTCCTCCCCACAGTGGGGAAGACGAAACATGCATAATCTGACCAGTAGTGTACTGGCAGTAAGAACTGGTTGCTTGGAAGTATGTATGAGAGAGTGAATCCGGTAATGACTGGAGGGAAGAAAATGCGGAGCTGACAACTGAATTGAATGGGAGTTCAGCTGGACAAGATGAAAGGGGTCGCTTTAGGCAAAGATAACAGACTGTATAAAGGCATGTGATGTGAAAGAATGTAGTATATTCAGGTATGTGTGAGACAGCAGATGAGGTCAGCAAGACCAGAGGGAATCCGAATGCCAGTGCTCTTGTCTGTGACTGGGGCTTTCACGAGATCCCTACTGTAGGTGGTGGGGAGCTCCATTCTGGTCATTCAGCATTGCCAGGCACTGTTCACGGTGTTGGGGACACGCTGGTGAGCGAACACACAAAAAACCCTGTCCCTGTAGAACTTACATTCTAGTGGACGGAGGACAGCAAATACAAAACAGGTAAACCATGGGAGTGTGACACGTGGTAGGAGTGTGTCTTGTGTTTATAAGTAATAGCGAGACTGCCACCATGGAGTGAGGAGTGCAAACAGGAGGCGAAGGGGCCAGGGCTGTGGCAGGCACACAGGGTACAGAGGATTGGTCGGGACTTCAGCTCTCACCCTGAGTGAGATGGGAAACCCCTGGAGAGGGATGACACAATCGTGCTTCCATTTTCTTTCTTTCTTTTTTTTTTTTAATAAATTTCTTTTCATTCTTTTTTTTTTTTTTTTTTTTAGAGAGAGGGGAAGGGAGGGAGAAACACTAATGTGTGGTTGCCTCTCCCATGGCCCTCATGGGGGACCTGGCCAGCAACCCAGGCATCTGGCCTGCAACCCAGGCATGTGCCCTGACTGGGAATGGAACCAGCAACCCTTTGGTTTTCAGCCTGCGCTCAATCCACTGAGCTACACCAGCCAGGGCTCGTGCTTCCATTTTCAAGAAGTCTCTTTGGCTGTGGCATTGATATTGAACTGTGAAGAAGCAAGAAGTCTGGTGAGCAGTTAGAAGACTACTTAAATAATCTAGGCCAGAGATGACGGTGGCTTGGGCCAGAGTGGCAGCTGCCGGGGTAGTATGAACGGTTGGTTGGACTGATACATTTGGGAAGTGGAACCAGCGTGATTTGTTAGTGTAAGGTGTGAGAAAGGAGAGGAGTGAAGAACACTAGAATTTTGGCCCAAACAGCTAGAAAGATGGAGTTATCATTAAGACGGAGAAGAGAGGGGAATGAAGGGGGGGAATAGAACAACTGTAACAGCATAAATAATAAAAAAAATAAAAAGACGGAGAAGACTGCAGGAGATTGTTTGGAATTGGGTGGTTAAGTTGGAGATGCTTAATTAACATCCAAGTGGGGGATACAATATTGGCTATTCGAAACGAAGTCCAGGGGACAGATGGGGGCCAGACATGCACGTGGGGAGCAGTCGACAGAGATGAAGATGAGGCTATAAGACCATCGAGAGGGTCAGTGCGGGTAAAGAGGAGAAGTCCCACACTGAATCCTAGAGCCCTCTGACATTTAGAGATTTGGCAGATGAGGAACAATCAGCAGGAGGGAAAGAAGGGGTTGGGGGGGGGAGAATGGAGAGTTTTTTTTTTAATGAGGTTGAAGGGCAAAGATGAGTTATATCAAATGCTGCTGGTAGGACAGGTCGATAGGCTGGTGATGAATGGCTCCTTGTACTGAACATTGTGAGTTGGTCAGTGACCCCAACTAGAGCATTTTCAGTGGGGCGATAGGGGCTAAAGTCCGAGTGGAGTGGGTTCGAGAATAAAAGACAGGGAGAAACAGCAGGTACAGTCAGTTCTCTGAGGGGTTCTGCCGTAAGGCTCACAGAGAAATGGCAGTAGCTCGAGGAGGCTTTGAGATCGAGAGGTTTTTGTTTATTTTTCGGTCGGGGAAATGACAGCATGTTTTGCTGATGGGAACGATGCAGCAGAGGGGAAAGGACGATGATGCCGGAGCGGGAAGGCTGCAGGGGAGACGTCCTTGAGAGGCTCACACACAAGTGGGGCACTATGAACAGGAGACGTTGCAAAGATTATGGGCACAGATGTTTGATAGGGGAAGCTGGACAGAATTCTGATTGCTCCCATCTCTCCGTGAAGGTCATCAGCTGCCCGTGAGGAAGCAGGAAGGAATGGGAGGTTTGAGGAGGCAAAAGAAAGTATAAAATAGTCATCCAGGAGAATGGAGAAATAATTGAACCGGGGGTGTGCTGTAGGATAGCCAGGCAGTGCCGAAGGCCTACTTGATGTTCGGATTCGTTAAAACGCAGCAGTGGTTCTCAGCCTGGGGTAATTTTGCCTCAACAGGGACTTGGAGTGATGTCTGAAAGCATTTTTGGTTGTCACAGGGCGGAACACATTGGGTAGTGGGCAGGGGCCAGGGATGCTTCTCAACACCCAGTGTGTGCAGGACAGCCCCCCACGACAATGAACCATCGGACCCGGTGAGTCGGTGGTGCCGAGGCTGAGACACCGTGGTACAGAGAGGCCAGGCAGCGTTGCTGCGTGGTTTTTCCCAGCCAGCTGTGCAGGTGCACGCGCAGGCTCCGAGTGGCTGGAGAAATGGATGTAACCAGGGTTAAGGGTTTGCCAGGAGCAAAAGTGAAGTTGCGTTGGGGGCAGGGGATTGAAGGAATGTGCAAGGGAGTGATTATAAAGACTGGCCGTGGAACTGACTTGAGGTCAGGGCAGAACTGAAAGCATCAGATGTGTGAGCGAAAGGGAAAAGCTGGTAGGATCAGTGGGCTGGAGGGGTGCCCAGTGCAGAAAGCCAGTGGGGGGGTCCAGGACATGGTGGCCAGTTTGCGATGCTGGGAAGCACGGTGACAATGAGGTTGCAGGTATGGTCAGGGCTTGTTACCTCGAGAGAAATAAGTAGCCAGGGGAGGATAGAGGGAAGGAAGTCAGGCAAGAGAAGCCAAGGGCTGGAATTGGAAGGCTCTTCCTGAAATCCTGCTTGTAAATATGCAGGAGTAGTGAGTGGGTCATGAGCTATGGTCTTTGCATTTTTCTACATGTATCTTCATTTCTAGAAAGTGTCTGTTGAGGACCATGAGGCAGGGCCTTCTTTTTCTGGGAGCAGAGCTGCAGCTTCCCCGGCTGAGATCCCAACTTCTGCCACGCTCGTGTCAGGGCCCACCTGGGTTAGGGGGGCTCAGGGATTGGCAGATTCTCCCACCTGAAGTACAGGCAGCAGAAGTCAGCCCCCCTCATGGACCCTCAGCAGAGAACAGCGGCTGACGTCAGACCTCCTTGGCTAGGCAGCAGCAAAGCCATGTGGGCCCTGCTGGCCTCTCCCTCCATTCCCCTACCCGGAGGATGGATATGGGCACAAAGAGGCAGCAGTCCCAATCCTGAAAGCTCTGTCTTCCCCTTCCCTGGGCTTCTGTGGGACAGACTATTTGTTCATTTGTGCAGTGGTCCTGGCAGGTTTAAAGGCCTGATCTTGTCCACGCCTTCAATTAAATGTTTCAAGTTCCGAATCCTTCCTAGTTTAGAAACCTTGCGTTACATATAAGGTGTTACACTGGTACATTCCAACTTCAGTTGGCTTAATTTTTTTAACACCCCGCCCCACAAGTCCATGGGGGAAATTTTCAATTGGGAAGCAATGAGGTTTTAAACATTCATGTCATCTCAGAGCTTTGCCCACTTTTCATCCTGGCGGGTAGGCTGGTAAGCTAGGAACCTGCTGAGATGCTAAATCATCTCTCAAGATCAGGCCTAGCAGGAAAGAATACACTTGTAACTATTGGATACCGATGTGTTGTTTTGTTTTTGATATCTCCGGGAAAGAGGGGAGGGCTGTTCTCAGATGATGGCGTGTTTTCTAAACCACCATCTGTGCATGTCAGGTGACCGTGGGGCACACACACGGATCTGACTTGCACGTGAATGGAAGGTGCAGGGGCAGGCTCACTCACGTCTCAGGTGCCTAATGACCGGCAGGTGCGTCTGAATAAAAGCAAGCTGGCATGATAAGCAGAGCTCGGAACCCAGGCAGGTCTCCTAGGCCCACGGCCTGGCTCCCCAGCTCACCCTGTTCCCCTGTTCCCACCTCAATGTCTCCACCTGAAAGTGGAGAGTAGTGACCTGGGACAGCCAGAAAACCAACGGGGCTGAGAGAGCAAAAGGCCTTGAACCACACGAGTGTCTGGCCCCAATCCTGGGGTCACCTGCGTGTCCCTGGGGCATTTTAGAAATAAGATTCCCAGGCCTGTCCGGAAGTCGTGAGTGAGGCTTACCCATCACAATGTCAGATGGGTCTGCTGTTCAGGGGGAGCAGGTGGTCTAGGATGGGGGCCGACAGAGCAGCCAGGTCTGGCCAGCGCAGCGAAGTTTTACTGGGACAGCCACACCCACCAAGTCACTGTCATCAGCGGCCATTTCTGCGCCACCAGGCCAGAGCTGCCACAGCAACCTCGTGACCAGCAAAGCCTGTAGTATCTACTCTGGCCCTTTTCAGGAAAAGTCTGCCGACCTCTATTCTAGGGGATACTGAATTTTGTTTATACTAATGATATTATGAGTCTTATTAAAATTTCATTCTTTTATATACAGAGTCACGATGTCATTTATGGGTGATGAAAAGGAAAGAGGTTTAACTATATGTTTTAAATGACAGAAAGCGGATCCAGTAGAGTGTATAGGGTAGAGGCCTACAAACCCTGATCTCACACTAGAAGGGACAAGCCAGGTGGGAGTGTGGGTCTTGTCCCTTTTCTTTTCGCAGAAAGTCACTCACTCTCTGCGTCAGCAGCTCAGGGGACAGCCGCATGGGCAGCGCTCACAGACAGGATGGCGGCGCCGGGACTAAACTGGGGAGGTGGGGGCCGCTGCCTCTGGAGCGGGTTGGAGGGGGGCTGCTGCGCTTCACTGAGTTTGTCTGCACTGTGGACCTCTTCGATTTTAACCAACAGCACGACCTTATGTGGACTGTTTCTTCTAATCGCAGCATTTACCCCCCAGTCCCAGGACAGGCGAGCTCCCTGAGGTGGGCAGGGAAGACATTTGAGGAGGTCCCAATCGCGCACATCAAGGCGTCGTACAACAAGTAAGTGGGGAGGGGAGCCCCTGGGCAGGTCTGTGTGGGCTCCTTTCCCATTCTCGGGGAGGGCAAGGCGGCCGGGGCGCCTGTGTGGGTGGAGACCAGGGTGCCAGGGTCTGCTTGGTGCCGCCAACGCACATGCTTCCCAGGCTCCCTCCATGTCTGGGGGAAACCAGCTCCTGTGTCTGTAACCTTCATTCTAATTTCATGAAAATGTGAGCTGGTCTGGGCATGTCGTGTTGATGGGATCTGCCTGCCTACAAACAGTGTCGAGGGCATTCCTAGCTGGGGGTGACACGTAGCCCTTCTCAGGGGGTGGAGCTTGTCTTAGTCTGCTCAGCTGCCACTACAAGGGACCACAAACTGCCGCCAATAACAGATATCCCCTTCTCACAGTTTTGGAGGCTAGAGGTGCAGGGCCAGGGTGCCAGCTTGGTGCGTTCGGGTGAGGACCCTCTTCAGGGCTGCAGGTGGCTGGCTTCTCAGCGGGTCCTCACTCAGTGGAAGGGCAGAAGGAACTTTCCGGAGTGCCTTTTATAAGGGCACTAATCCCCTTCGTGGGGGCTCCATCCTCATAACCTAATCATCTTCCAAAGGCCCCGTGTCCAGATGCTATCCTGTTTGGGGTTAGGATTCCACCATGAATTTGGGGGGGAGACACACATTCAGTCCAGAGCAGAGCCCTCTTCAGATCATGGCTGGTCAGTTTTCAGTGAGGCGGAGGGGACGACCCTGACCCTTCCAGGCGCCTCCTGTGAGGTTCAGAAACCATTTCACTGGCAAGTTCAGAGTGGAAACAGTGTTTTCCTTCTCACCCGGGCTTGTGAGGGCATAGCTCAGTGCTGTCCAAAGTCTCTAGCGGACAGTCCACTTTATCTTCTCCCGCCTTCCCAGCACACAGATCCAGGTAGTCTCTGCCACTAACCAGCCCCTGGCCCGCACCTCCTGCGGCACAGAGGGGTTTCGGAACGCCAAGAAGGGCACGGGCATCGCGGCACAGACAGCGGGCATTGCGGCCGCGGCGGTGAGTGCGTGTCCCCTCCGCTCCCTCTGTGGTGGCTCTCCCGTTCTGCGTGGCTGACCCCCGGGCGAGAGTTCTGGAACCAGCCATTCAGAAGCAGTGGGGTACATGCCAGCTCTTGTCTGAGGTGTGAACACTGAGGGTGGTGTGAAGGGGCTTCTCTGTCTCTTCCTCTGAACTCCCACAGAAGTTACACACTCAGTTCATCCTAGTAGACGGAGGAGCCGGTGCTGAAGGCCCATCACAGCCTCCCTAGTGCAAAGACTGTTGCGGCCGGGTTGGGCTTGGCGGTGGTAACCAGCTCTGAGGGAAGCTGTGCTGTGGTGAAAACCAGTTTGCGTGTGAACCGTCGCCGACCTTTCTGGAAGGCGATCGGATCAGCAGCACACCGCTAGCGGTGTGTTCATTCAGCATCTCCACGCCAGACACTTCCCATTCACGATCTTGACCTTCAGAGTGCCCTTGGTACCAGCCGCGTTTTTAAGGTTCAGATACAGCGTGTACGACCTGCTCAGAGCCACGCAGTCATTTCAGTTCCTGAACTGACCCCGGATTTGTCTGGGGCCAAAGCTCGAACACTGCCTCCTGCAGCACAGGCCTTCCTGAGGCGCACACTAGGTCCTCCTGAGGCGCACACTGGGTCCACAACCCAGAGGCATTTCCCAAGGAAAACCTTGACCTTCAGAAAGAAAAAAACCCAGTACCCAAAACTATTGGTTGCCGGACGTCCACCGATGGACAGATTATACACCTGTACGAGGAAGGCGTTGGCATCCAGGGTGGGGTCGGTGACATCTGCATGCTTCCCAGACTTCCCATCACAACCTCTTTAAATCAAGATGAAAACTTAACCATCGCTCACGATTAAAACGATAAAAGAATACTTTTTCTGTGGGTGTGAAAGCTCAGCCTTGAAGTCCAGGGCTCCTCCCCAGGGTCTGAGATTCTGCATTTACCCACCTGAGAAAAACCGGAGCAGTACTTAGAAATTGCCATTAGGTGGCAGTGCTGCTCTGGGTAAAACTGCAACCCAAGTCCTGCGCTCCCCTCCCTGTCTTCTGCCTGTGTTCCTATGTGGGTCAAGCCTCTTCCCTGGAGCTTGAAACCCTGTTGCTCCAGGGGGCAGTAGCAAGAGACTGGGATGTAGCAGTTCTCGCTGGGGTGCTAACTAGTTGTTGCTCTTCTCCAGAAAGCGACGGGGAAGGGCGTGACCCACGTCCGAGTGGTGGTGAAAGGCCTGGGGCCTGGGCGCTTGGTGAGTGGCCGTGATTCTCCACGGGATATGCACTTGCTTCTTTACTTCGAGAAACAGGGCGTGAGAGCAGCTAGGGAACGCGGAAAAGGACCTGGTCCTGGGTTTCCATGAGGGCTCGACGGTTTCTTTCTGTTGTTCTCACCATCTGCCAAGCTTCTCAGAGCAAGCCCAGGTCACGTAGTGTGGTCCCTCAGACTTCCACTGAGGGTCTGCCAGGCCCCCAGAGCAGAGAGGCAGCCCCTGGGGACTGTCACAGGTGGGTCCCTCGGTACAGACAAGCTGGTGCCCAGGGTGCCGGGAGACCACTGTCATGATAAGGAAAGCTTCCCCACCGAGGTGACAATTCTCCTAACTTGTGGAGAACCACATGGCATTACCCAGGGGAGGGGAGACGTCCCAAGCAGAGAACGCACCTCAGGTGAAGAAGCTACAGCAGTGCTATGGGTGGGTCGGGTGCCTGGGCAGTCTCTGCGCTGAGGTGGCAGGGCTCCGGTGGGCGGCAGCAGGTGTGGCCGAAGCGGACGGCACTGAGCGCACACGGGTTGGGAGGCTCTGTGAGCAGACGGAGTTGGGGTCACAGGTGTCACAGCCAGTGAGCCTCCCCGAGCCCTGTCTGGACATGCCGGGTTATTATTTCTGGGGCCAAGCCTGTTCTTCTGTTCCTGCCAGGCTGCCATCAAGGGGCTGACCATGGGGGGCCTGGAAGTGATCTCCATCACAGACAACACCCCCATCCCGCACAACGGCTGCCGCCCCCGGAAGGCTCGGAGGCTGTGACGGGAGGAAGCCCCCACCCCCCAACCTCGTTGGAAGTACCCTGTCAGAGGTCTCTCCAGAGGGCGGCTCGTTGGAGGTCCTTCAGGCAGAGAGGGACAGCTGCGCCTCCTTACATGGTGGTGTTTGTCTGACTTTTGACTGGAGACCGATGTGCCCAGAAGCAAGGCCATCCTCTCTTGGACACAAGGAGAGCCAGAGGGGTAGCTGGGGCCCGGACTCCCGCCAGTGAACGCTGCCCTGCTCTAATGCAATAAAAGAATATCTCTCCATCTGTGGTGATGCATGAGTTTCTTGCTTCCAGATTTGGAATGTGAACTGTAGAAGGAAAAATGTCTCCCTACTGCCTTCTCTTCCACCCTTAGCAGGACCTTTGAAGGGTAACTTGTGACCATTGACCAAAAAACCCAGTGGGGGTCTTCCTGTGTTAAAGTCATCTCCAGAGGGAATTAACACCGTTTCACCATAAAACTACATGTAAGCACAATGTAGGCAGAAATCGGCGCCCTTGAGAGCCGCTCTGCTGTCTCCTGTGGTTGGCCTGTGTCTGCGCCAGACAGAGGCCCCGGAGCAGCCACACGGTGTGTCAGTCAGGGCCGCCTGGAAAGGGAGGAGGGGAGCAGGTTCGAAGGTTTAAAAGAGAAGCTTAATGACGGTTCGTTACAAGGGCGTGGGTTAGGGGAATACACAGATCGGCAGAGCCAGCGGGAGCAGGAGGAACACGATTCCCCGCAGCCTCAGGGCCCAGGGAAGGAAGAGCTGCCGGAACCCGACAGGAAGGCAGCCTCTGCCAAAACCCGGGCCTGGCAGAGGGGGCTTGCACACGCCCTGCTGGTCTGCAGCTGGTTGCCCGCTAGCATCCCGGCACTTGAACCCAGCAACAGGCAAGGAGGCAGGGGCACTCGGGCCGCAAGAGTGAGCACAGGTGGTTTCTGCCGTTCCCGAGAGGGAAACCCTCCAGCCACTGCTGTTCTAGAACACATCCTTTACACACGGGGGCTTTGGGAAGGGGGCAGGTCGCTCAGGATCCAGAAGCGCACAAGCACAGAGAGGACACTGGGGACCCGGCACAAACTGCCTGGAGCTGCTGGCCAGGTGTGCTGGCCAGCACACACTGCTTTTTGTGAACTCTTGGTGCCCACAGCTACGTCCAGGCTCCGAGTGACTGATGAAACTTATGATGTCTTCAGCCAAGTCACCTCTCAGTCACTCTGTCTTGGCCTCAGGGAAATAGGCACCGCCACCGAAGGTTGACCGTTAAAGAAGTTCTGGTTTGCCTGGAAGACCAGCTGCCTGTCCGCTGCCACAGGCCCTCCTGGGCGTCAGGCCGCCATCACTTCCACAGGCAGGAAACGGCCTCGCACTGTGGGACGCACTTCCCCATTTCCTGGCAGCACTTCCGAGTGCATCTGCAGTTCTGTCAGCTCAGAGCTGGTGGCACAGGAGCGGCTGCACGAGGGACGCTCCTCTCCTCTCCTCTCCTCTGCATGTAAAACGGCAAACCCCACTTCTTCCCTTTCTGCACAAAGGCCGTTTTACCTTCTTTCAGCCAAGCCACCACCTGCCACCAAGACGTGCCACCGCTAACAAACTACACCTGTTTAACACTGAGGGACCCGGATGCTGGCAGGATATCACTCAGCACTTTTCACTCACCTCTGCCTGCAACCTGGCTCTGACGTGTCCATGTTTTAAAAAATCATACATCCCTTCCCCCAGGGCTCCTCGATTCTTCCCCTCTCATTTTCTTCCTACTTGGGATGCACTCATTGCTTTTTCACTCCGAGGACCGTCAGCCCAGAGAGAGCAGTCCTGCTGCAGCAGCGCTCGTCTGTCGGAGCAAAGCGAGCAAACGCGGGCTCCTGTGCACACATCCCGGGCCCTGGAGGCACAGCCCGAGCACCGCCACTACTCCCCTTGGGCGCACGGTCCGAGGAAGCGAGAGAGGTGCATGCAGCCGAACTAGAAGCACCATGACACAGGCACGGCTGTTACTGGTGTTGGTCAGAGTGGAAGAACGATTCCCTCAGTTCAAGGGCCAGAGGGGACAGCCTTACGGAGGAGGCGGCAGGCGAGACAACCTAATGGATCAGTGGGTGTCAGTGGGGTTGGAAATGCAAACCATGAAGATGCTGAGCTTACTGGTAATCGAGGAAATGGGAACTGAAACGCGTGACTAACATTCCCCAAAGGATGCTAAGCAAAGCCCTGGCAGGGGTGACATCACACAGGAAAGAAGCAGAGAACGAGGAGAAGGAGGCAGCCGAGTTGTGAATGCCGCAAGGACAGCGCTGCGGAGGACGCAGTGAGGCAGCGACTGGACTGCAGGTGTGTTGTCTCGGAAGCCAAAGGGGCGAGCACTTCGAGAAGGAAGGGACAAAGCGCAAACTGCCGTGGGGGGTCAGCTAGGAAGGAGCTCGAGCCAGGCGAGGACGGGGCAGTGCCCACTGGACCTAGCAAGGTGGAGGCCACCAATCCCACAGGGAGGGAGGTGGACAGCGTGGGAAGTGAGGAAGTGGAGATTTGGCTGGTGTCCTGGTAGAGGCTGGGTCCCGGTGACAGGGAATTCAGGAGGGGGGGTCCCCTCCCTGGGCCAGGCCTCAGGAGAGGAGAGAGAAGCGGCTGAGAGTGGGAGAAGTGACCACAGCGAGGCGGAGCCCAGTGTGGGCTCCCCATGACAGGAGTGCCCACTGTCGGTCAGGAACAGCAGCGTCTGCCTCAAACACCGCGGAAACAGAAAGTCTTTGCAGTCTGAACCCAGGGAAGGTCTCCTTCCCTCCCCTAACACCCGTGTGACGGTTCTGAAATAAGAGTGCTCTCCCTGTCAGAGCTCTTACCTGGTGAATGTAAGCAGCAAGAGCCTTTCCAGGGGAAAGGTTGGCCACCTTTGCCAACACTGAAGGGGACAGATGTCTGGCTTCACGGTCCCTTCTGGGAATTCGTCCTGTGGGAGCAGCGGGGTCCGACAGAACCCCCTGCACTACGGGCAGGCTCCAGCCCCCGTGAGACTTCGGCACTCGAGATGTGGCTAGCGTGACTGAGGAACTGGACTTTTAAGTTTCATTACATTCAAATGAATTTAGACGTACATAGCAACATGTGGCTAGGGGCTCCCCTATCGAACAGTGTGGCTTAGATGCTCTTTAATGTGTGTAGCAAGTATGCAAAGGTGTGTATTCTCCGACGCACTGAGAGTTCTGGTGAAAGACTCGAACTAAATGTCCATCAACGGTGAGCTAGTTAAAGAAAGAAGGCTCCATCCGTGTAATGGGCGTTAGCCAGGACCAAGTCAGGATGCACTGCCGAGGAAAAATAGAGGTGGGGAGGACAGCGTGCGTGGCGTAGTCACTAGTTTCCGTGGAAAAGGACAGGATATGTGCACATTTATGCACGCGCATTGCATATCTGGAGAGATATTCCCCAAAACGGTAGTGTCCTCTCTGCAGGGAGAGAACATGAACAGCTAGGAAACAGGCAGAAAGATGTCACTTTTGCCTTTTCCACCTTTAGGAGAGGGTGCTGTGTACATTGTTGCTGCTTAGTCTGATTAATTCATCACTTAAAAATACAATAGAAGGAGAAATAAAGAACTGACTTATGCAAACGTATGGAAGCTGCGGTCAGGCACCACGCGCATTATCTGCGGCATAACATTTTAATAGACATTTGACGTACACAAACCCTGTACCACGCCAGCCCCCGCAGCCCTGCTGGTGGCCCGGTCCTTGGGGGCAGACATCTGACTTGGCTTGGAAATTGGTTCTGGCAATTACTCTGGCTTCTCCCCTCGCCCACCCAGGCTCAAATTAAACTGTGCACATGCTCTGCAATTTAGCAAAACCGGTCTTGCCAGAAAGTCAGCCTCATGTCACTGCGGGCTGGAGGCCGGGAAGACAAAGCACAGAGCTGTTTCCATAGTGCCCTGTGGCAGCTTAATGCCCCTGGATTTGCGTAATCCCCTGGAACAGAAAGGAAATGTCAGCCAAGGGGCAGCGTGGTGTCCCAGGGGCCTGGCTGGCAGGACACCTGCTCTGTGGCCCCTGCTGAGCACAGACTCGGCACCCAGACCACAGGGGCCACACTCCTCTTCTCCAGCTGGACCTCAACTTCCCCCTCAGGACAAAGAGGCGGTGGAGTGGGATGGGGTTCCGGCACCCTAGGGGCCCAGGCCCATCCTCACACACTAGTGACCGAAGTGGGAGAGAGGCTCAGGGTGGGACCACAGGCTGACTGGGTGCCCTGAAAATGCAACGAGCTCTTCTCCCTGGCTCCCCCTGGCTGCCCATTTCTTCCAGCCTGAGGCGGGGTAGAGAGGGGCGGCGACACAGCCTGGTTGGTACCCCAGCTCTGCATCAGCCTGCACCTCAGCCACTCCCACCTGCAGGGGGCGCTCTGCTGTACAGGTGAGCATCCAGGACGCCTCTCTCAACCCGCTCCCACCCGGCTCCCTGTGGAGGCCCTGGCTGGGGACACAGTGTGGGTGTAGATGCACGCCCACCCTGCTGCTATTATTATTATTATTATTATTATTATTATTATTATTATTATTATTGTTATTATTATTAAAAACTCATGTTGCCTGTGATTTTAATCAGAAAACGTTATGTGACCCCATCACCCATCCTCCCTACACCCATATAGTGAGACGACTCTAGATTAAGCCAAAAACTGAATTAAGTTAAAAAGCCAAATGACTCAAGAATCTATTCCTCAAGAGTCTTTCTCCCCTCCCTCCTCCCTCAAAATTTTATTAATACTGAGATACAGCGTGTCTGAAACCTGGTAACTGCCTCCGCGTCTCAGAGGCTGACAGTGCGAGCAAGTCAAAGAACCCCATTTTGATGCCGCCAGCACTCACGGAACGAGGGTGTGTGTGTGTGTGTGTGTGCGTGTGTGTGCACACACGTGTGTGAGAGAGAAGGTGATAACAGGGAGGGGTACCAAGGGGCACTCCCTAGGGGAGGTGACATCTAAGGTCATGAGATGGGAACAAGTGTTAGGAGGCAAATGTGAGGGACCAGGGGCAATGGCAGGGGGGGCGTCCAGCAGAGGGGGCGGCGTGGACAAGGGCAGAGTGCGGAACGACACAGTCTGTGTGGCGAAGTGCAAACAGAGCACCGTGCGGGGCACTGGCCCCCCGAGGACAGCAGACCCTGGACACGGTGCGCGTCATCTTACGTGCAAACAGGGTCTTGCAGAGGTGACAAAATGGGGAGATTGCCCTGGATGGCCCAGCTGGATCCTGAATGAGATCGCATGCACCCCCATAAAA